CTATAATCAGGTCCTGTGCGATGCTCTTGTACTTAAGATTATTTTAAGTACAAGATCATTGCATGGGATCTAACCATAGCGCGGGACGGGGCTAAAATTGTGCAAATCTGCGTTACCCACTTAGCAAAATGTGCAAATTGGCTACGTAGTTCAATGTCCACGTTTTCAATGTCCACAGAGGGCGTATCGCATTCGCGTATCACGAAAAACGGGGCCGTGACATCTCTCAGGCTTCTCTCTGCTATGAATACCGGCCAATGACTGCGTTCAGCAGAAGTTAGCGCTTGTTAAGCGCTTTGCGCTCATTGGATTATACTTTCAGATCTGTGCTGAAATAGAGCTATTCTTCTATCCAATCCAGGTCTATCCAATCAGCATAAAGCGCTTATTAAGCGCTGACTTCTGCTGAACGCAGCCGTTGAAGTACCGGGATTCTGAAAGACCAAGGCCGGTATTTATAATCAGATCTTAAGCCCGCTGCAGACGATGCTATTTTTCCTGCTGGATTGCTTGCAATCTAATAAATTACTATCGTTGCACCATTCAGCACTCAGGATTCCTAGTAATTTAGTAAATCACAAGCAATCCAGCAGGAAAAATAGCATCGTCTGCAGCGGGCTTTAGTAAAGTACTAGAAATCCTGAGTGCTGAGTGGTGCAATGATAGTAATTTACTAATGGCCGATTTTTTCACTTCCCGATAAAATTATCCGGAGGTTAATCTCAAGTTTTAGTCCCAGTCTACAATAGAGATTTAAGCCCTAAGCCTCAAGAAATTGACTAATCACAGTCGCGCATTCTTCTCATACTTGACCGTGATTGGCCAATTTCTTAAAGCTTAAGGCTTAAATCATCTATTGTAGACTGGGACTTAGCCAATCACGTGCATGGATCTGGTAGTTTATCTCCTGGTTAACTTTAACCGCAACATAACTGGATGTGAAGAAATTAGGCATAAATCGCAAGCAATCCAGCAGGAAAAATAGTCTGTAGCGGGCTTAATAAATTGCTATCATTGCACCACTCAGCACTCAGGATTTCTAGTAATTTTAAGGCCGATTGGATACGTCTATAGTTTCCGCTGAACACAGTGGCGCTGAAATCGACCCGGAGATCTCGGCGATCTCGCCTCGCACGTCGTTCATGGTTGTCACTCGTCAAGTGTCGCGGCAAACACACAGAATTGCGAACGAAGTATTTTGAAACGGAGATATTAACGTGGACATTATTGAAATACTCCGAATTTAGCCATGGCCGATGTTTTGGACATCGACAACGCCGAGGAGTTCGAAGTTGACGACGAGGGAGATCGTGAGTCTCGTTTACCTTCAATTTTACGAGCATCGCTTTCAGCATGTAACCTCAATCTCGTAGTATCGAGTCTCGGTAATCCCGGCATCACAGGACTGGAAGACAAAAGTTCGGTCGATGGCGCGTTAAGCCTCCAGAGAAGGAAACGAGCCTCGATAACTTGTTCGTCTCGTTCTTTTATAACATTCGTGTCCTTTAACGAGTCGAGCACCGTGTCCCCTCGGGAGTAGCATGCGATTATCGAACGAAATGGACGTTGCGACCGTCGACGTTGTCCAAAGTCGTTGGACGAGATGTGTGGAAAGACTGATGGCAGAGAACAATCCGTAAGCGCCTAAGACTCTCTTAAGTCGCGGAAGTCTATTGTATACGACTTCAGTTTTTTTCCCTGCCTTCTCTCACGACTGAGACAGTCAAGCGTTTACGGATCGTTCTCCGCCATCAGCCTAAGAGACGGCGATAAAATAACGTAGCGATGTGAACCGCGTGAAGCATACTATGGCGTAAAGGCTCGTTCTGATCGTTTCCGGTCGCTTGCAGAGGGTATCGCTCGTCTCAAGGAGAAGGCGAAGAAGAGGAAGGGCAGAGGCCATGGCGCGGAATTGGTGTCAACGAGAGACGACGTTGGGCACTATGAGTCCATGAGTATAGTTGAGGAGGACGACAACGAGCCTGGCCCTCAGAGATGTGAGAAGTTTTCCTTGTTGCGGCTACGTTAAGGGGTTGCTGGAATAATTCTGCACTTTTGCATCCTTCTAACCTGGACACTGTTAGTTGAGGGAAACGTTTGTATAATATACAAATTAAACAGCTTACGTGTACAGGTCGAAACCCAGATAGCACACATAGTTCTATGAATATTCTTCTGAAGTGCAAATATTCTCTTAATTTCAGAATATTCCAATCGAATATTCTGTAAATATATATGGATTATTACAATTAGAAATCGTATGTTCATAACAAAGAGGAACAATTCTTAATATCGTCGAGAATGTCTTTGGAATATTCGTTCAGAATAATTTTTTAACATTCGTCGAGTGTGTGTACAGGACATCGCAACTCAAAAGTATGTTGGCCACGTACGAAATCAACGCAAGTCAATACAAACAGAGTGAGATTCTTTCCGAAACAATCTACAAGTTTAATTACGGGACATTGCAACTCAAAAGTATGTTGATCACAAACGAAATCAACGCAAGTCAATACAAACGGAGTAAAATTCGTTTTGGAAAAGACTTGCGTTGATTTCGTTTGTGGTCAACATACTTTTGAGTTGCAATGTCCTGTAAATAAACTTGTAGATTGTTGAATTCCTTGAGAAGGACCACAACCCGTATGGTCGAAACGTCGGATTAAAATAAAGAAACCATCTGCCAGCCTAAAGTTGTCTAACAATTCTTTTCATCGTAAGCCACTTAATTTGTATATTACACAAATGTTTCTACGAAACAGACAGTTTTAAGTGCAAGAGATGCAAAAGCGCAGAATCACTCTAGCATCCTCTTAATTACAAGACTTTTCCTCCCTTTTTATCTGTAACAATTGGTCGCAATTGATATCTCTATGTACTTTCAGCCGTGGAGGGATGGATCTTGTTCATAAATTCGGTACATGAAGAGGCGCAGGAGGACGATATTCAGGACAAGTTCTCCGAGTTTGGTCAGATCAAGAACTTGCATTTGAATCTGGACAGAAGGACGGGATTCCTGAAGGGCTACGCGTTGGTGGAATACGAGACGTTTAAGGAGGCGCAGGCTGCGAAGGAGGCTCTGAACGGCACGGAGATCCTGGGTCAGGCCATCTCTGTCGATTGGTGCTTCGTCAAAGGACCAAAGAAGTAAGTGTTTACCACGTGAACCTTTAAACTGTTGCAAGTTGGTTCGCGCATCGATATTTACGTCTCATGTTTTTTCCGACTTTTGTAGAATCAGAAAAAGAAGTCACAGGAGGCGATGAGAATCGTAGATTAATAACCATCATCATATCCTCTATTATGTATTCGTCGTTTCAAGCAGGGCAAGTTATCTTGTATTTGATGAGTATTCTGTAAATGCTGGAAATAACGTAAGTTACTTTTTCTAACGGGATCTCTCTGTCGTGTTAGATATCTATTCGCAATCTATTCGAATGTAAAGAACTTGATATATAACGAGTAATTAATAAATGAAAGATCATGAACCCGTCCGGATATTGTCTAGCGTGCGAGCGAGAGTATTAATATTTTATTTCTTTTTGCTTTCTTTCACGCGCCTTTTATCATCTGGCAACAATTTCGCGTTCCTTGCGATACTTGCACTAGTTTGCATAAAGTAAATGTATACGTTATTAAAATTTTATTTTCGTAGCGATAGGGCGCTTTCAAACACGTAACATTCAATCAAAATTCTTACATTAAGAATAAAACTTCATTTCTCAAGCCTGTTCTCTTTTAGTCACCTTTGCACGGTTTATCTCTTTTCTTTCTTCCTAACGTAAAGGCAAAAAAGGGAAAGTGGAACTATGCAAGTTCAGCTAGAAAGAACAGACCTATTGTAAGACAACGGCGCAAGAATTCGTGGCGAAGTAAGCACGATACTCTTTTAATTTCACGTAATTTCACGCGTGACTTTGCATAGTGCTCATTTTTCTTTCTTGCGTATCTCGTATTTGCCGAGAAATGAAAAAGTTTGAAGAAGGATATTACTACTAGTATATTTATTATACAAAAGTTATCTTAATAAATAAATCACGCGACGCGGCGTATTAAGCGTAATAATTCAGGTTTGCTTTCTTCTTCGCTTGGACCTCATTAATAGCCTCCATTAGATCTTCGTGAGTAACTTCCGTCGCGTTGCGTCGTAACGCTATCATACCCTGAAACACATTTTAATCAGTAATGAAATCAGTTTCTGACAAATTACGTAGCAAGATCAAGTAGAACAAATCGTTAGCTGGGATAATATCATTTTTAAACGGTGTGATTTAGATGTAAATAATATAATAGTGAATATAGACAAAAAATAATTTTATATCGTTGAGTTGAAGAGCAGGTGACGAGCGATATTGTTTCTAATTGATCCTCAATTGAAGTGCTTACCGCTTCTACGCAAACGGCTTTACACTGCGCTCCATTAAAGTCATCCGTGGACCTGGACAATTCTTCGAAATTCACATCGGGCGACATGTTCATTTTGCGCGAGTGAATTTGCATGATGCGCGCTCTGGCCTCCTCGTTGGGATGCGGGAACTCGATCTTCCTGTCCAAGCGTCCGGATCGCAGCAGGGCCGGGTCCAGGATGTCGACTCTGTTCGTGGCGGCGATCACTTTGATGTCGGCGGTCGAGCTGAAGCCGTCCAGCTGATTCAACAGCTCCAGCATCGTACGTTGCACCTCCCTGTCGCCCGCCTTTTCCGAATCGAAACGTTTCGTGCCGATCGCGTCCAGCTCGTCGATGAATATTATCGCCGGCGCCTTCTCCTTGGCCAAGGAAAACGCGTCTCTGACCAACTTGGCGCCGTCGCCGATGAACATCTGCACCAGTTGCGGACCGGCGAGTTTCAGGAAGGTAGATTTCGTCTGGGCGGCGCAAGCTCTAGCCAACAGAGTCTTTCCAGTTCCGGGTGGACCGTAGAGCAGAACGCCCTTAGGCGGCTGTATCCCCAGGTTCTCGAACTTCTCCTTGTGCGTCATGGGCAGCACAACGGCCTCGATGAGCTCCTGAATCTGCTTGTCCAGCCCGCCGATGTCCGAGTACTGTTCCGTAGGTCTCTCGTCTACCTCCATGGCCTTGACTCTGGCGTCGTACTCGGCCGGCAGGGTCTCGAGCACGAGGTAGCTGTCTTTGTTGACGCCCACCAGGTCGCCCGGCTTCAGCGACTCGGCGTCGACCAGGCCGATCACAGGCAGAAAGTACGTCTGACGGGTCGACGTTTTTATAACCGCGCATTTGCCTTTCCTCTGTGCGTCCAAGTCGACCACCGCCCCATCTTCCTCCCCCATGTCCTGCGGATCGACGTCCAGCAGCTCGATGACATTGGACACCAGGTACGGCAGGGTCTTGTTCACCTTGATCTTCTCCGTGTTCTCCTTGATCTTGTCGTTCTGCGCCTGGAGCTCGTGCGAGATCCGCATTACCTCGCTCTTCATTATCTTGATCTCGTTGTCCAAGAGTCGCGTGCGCGACACGATTTCGTCTGTCGACATTCGCAGGACATCCTCACCCAACGTTTCCTGGAAACAGTATAGTGCTTTTATAACATTCTCTTCATTGTTAAAATTTAGGGAACACTGTGCGTGTAAATGATTATCCTATTGTATCCTCGTCTCCTCCTCCTATACAAAAAAGCCGTGTTAAGTCGAAAGTCGTCGAGTATTGTTGTCGCTTTTCCGAGATGCTGGTCGGCTGTCTCGCTTGTGCGATACGACATGCCTCAGTCGTGTTACTTGTAGCTGTCGAACCGTGCCAATTTTTAGAGAGAGCAAATGGCGCGCTTGTATGGTCTAGTACTACAAAATGTATATTCGTGTACTCTGGCGAGTTGAAAATAAAGGACAAAATTATTGTAGAAATAATATTTCACGTAACTACTGCACAGCCATGAAGCGAGTGTCTTCAATAGACAATACAGGCATATAATCATCTGACAAATATCCGTCATTTATATTACATGGCAAATTTTTTGATCGCATTGTTCGGCTACAGAACAGAAAGTTTCGTGAGACTCGAGACTCTTCTATCAGCACGCTTGGAAGATTCGTCACTCGATGTGATATTAGAGACAGAGCACAAAGCAACGTAATAGCTTACGACGAAGGCGCGAGCGTAAACGTAGATAGTGCACAAGCTTTGGCGTATGTCGTACTTTACCTTTAATTACATATGACCTAACTAGACCTTAAACCTAAGGCCCGGTCTACAATGAGTTGTTCGTTAATCAGAAGTCGGAACTATATGTTGATCCTTTTCCTTTCTAGGCGGAAGAAAAAGGTCCGTTATATAGTTCTGACTTCTGACTAACGACCAACGACTCATTACAGACCGGTCCTAAGAGAAAGTGGTGTAACGTTACAATTAAGGTTGTTAAAAAGTGATAGACACTCGGCAACAATCGGGGAGAGGAAAAGGAATCACGCGAGGGCGTTAGAACTCGATGAAAGAACGGAGAACTGGATTTGTCCGAGAAGTCGAGAAACAAATGCTCGATTGACGTTAAATACCTTCGTAAATAAATAAAAAAATTCGCATACCTCACCGTCCTCCCAGATAGACTTGTCCTCGAGCGTGGCCATTTGGAAGCTGCGAAAGCCCGAAACTCGCTTGCAGGTTCCGACTCTTCCCGGCTGATCTGCGATCAACGCGCAAAAAGAGTCCTTGAATAAAATCAGCTCCGAGAGCCCTGGGCACCCTTCAGACAATCGGTGCTGCACTTACGAATCTTGCGATTCGGACAGTCATGTTGCGTGGCTCCGCGCACGCGCAGCGATGAGATACTTACGGTACTGCAAAAACACAGCAGATGGCAATGTGTGCCACATTTTGGGTCCACTCATATAAATATAGGCCGGTATTCATAGTCGATTCTTATTTCAAAATCATCTTAAGTGTTGCCTTAAGAGGCTAATACGGCTCTGTGATTGGTTAAAAAGACATTAAAAGTATAGTTAAGATGATCTTAAATACGGACTATGAATACCGGCCATAGACTGAGCATCCCATTGAATAAGCTGAAGCTTGTGAAAAGAGAGAGAGAGAGAGAGAGAGAGAGAGAGAGAGAGAGAGAGAGAGAGAGAGAGAGAGAGA